GAATTAGTAAAAGTGATATAATTTCGTACATTAAGCTAATGTCATAGAAAAATAAATTCCTGATTAATTATAAATAATAAATTGGAAATAAATACAGTAAATCTGAAAAAAAATTGTGAAAAATAACATATAGCTAGTATCTATATAAATGAGTACAGAATAATATTATTTTATAAGCCAACCCTGCAACAGTAATTTCATTTTAATCACTTATGATATATATTTTTCAAAATTGATTATAATAAAGCTACAAATTTGAAAGAACTATACTTACCCATTTACTGTCGTACATACTATGATACTTAAACTGATATACACATACAACATTATTTAAATGTGAAGTTTCCAACAATAGAGTGTTTGACCTGAATTAAATTAGAAGTTTATCGCAACATTGCATTTGACAGCAAATAGCTTAACGCTAACTGTTTATATGTGATGTAAAATGTTGCTGAACAGATAGTTTCAGCAACACAATATACAACACAATTTCTTAAACGTGTCTTAAATGAATTTTCATAACATACTTCATAATATAAATCAATTTTTATACAGGTACTTACACAACTCTAAAGAGTAATTGGGCTCCTAAAGGAATTGATGTTAAAGAGAATATGTTCTTTAATATAAAAACTAGTTTATATCATTATTTTACTACAACTACTATTTGTAATTTTGCTGGAGTGAGAGAATCAATCTCCAGCTACTTACCGATAAAGAGGAAACCTCGTATTTCCAATAATGTCCCCAAGATGCACAAGTACCACAAAAACATTAAACAAAGTGCACCATGTAAAGACACTAATATTACGCAAAGTTAATGTTCAAAATAACTTTGCGATTCTGGCAATAAAAAGAGAAAAAACATAGCCATTCAAGTTGAAATAAAATCATGTTACGTTATAGAATTAACACAGCCAATACGAGTAATGCTGTGAGCTTTATTCTTCGTAGGAGAATAAACGAGACTTATTTAAACAACGTGTGTCTTTTTATTAAGCGGTGCTTGCTTAAATAAACTATGCTGCTAATAACATAATAAGAGTAACAAAATCACGGTGAAAATTACGGAGCAACCTGTAATACACGTAACCAAAAGGTTATTCGACCGATTATAATTTACGAAAATGTAACAAATGATAGGTTTTCTTTTCTTTCACTCGTGTCGCTGATATTTGGCAACCAAAGAATCACGGCCAAATGGCGAACTCTCGATTTTCGATTAAACCTCCCATTTAAACTGTTACCTTGTCGTTTTTTTTATATTTTTTCAGTAATTTTGCGCATAAATCTTAACCTCTCATAACACCGAAATAAAAAGAATAAGCTCGACTTACCAAATTGCCAATGCACGACGATCACATTTAGTAATTCCGTCCGTGTGGATTTTTGGTTCTTTAATTTTGTTTTCGACAAAACCTTTCGGAGGCCATATCGAAAAAGAAATATTCAACCATCGAATACGAATAGAGTAGACGTGGCATTGTATTGGATTTCGCGTATCACATGAAAGACCGATCTTCAAAAAATTGAAGTATCACTTACGCCATCTGTGAGGTGCGACGGCGAACGTTCAATAATTGTGTCCAATTTAATTATCGAAAACGAGAGCAACGTTGTTCTTATTAATTGCAACAGTGAATAGCATTTATACTATAGAAATTTCGTTACATAATAGAAATTAATTTTGAAGAATAAAACCACATTCAAATAGGAAACTACTCGTACTACTAAAAATTAAATAAATAAGATATTATTTATTAAATTAATGGAATATAAAACTTAGACCAAAGTTCAAAAAGTAAAATTACAGATATTTTGTTAAATCAATTGTGTTTTCGTGAAGGATTAGAAAAAAGAGCTTTTTAGTTTTATTTCAAATTGAACAACGTATGATATGCGCGCGCAAAATTTCAGCTCAGATTGCAGCGCCATTAGTCGAATATCGCGATATTCAACTATAATCGATATAATTTCTCGAAGTCGACATATAACGTTGGAATATAGTTCGTAAAGCAGAAATGTTAGTTTTCGGCGGGAGACACAGCAAGAAGCATCGTCCAGAAGTTGTCAACTAGACACAATATTTAAAAGAGTTGTTAGGTAAAACATATTTACTATAACCAATGTTGATTAAAAATGAACACATGCAACATATTCAGAAATGATTTGGGCATCAGGTGTTTGTAAATTATAGTAGTTTGAATTTTGTTAAAGGTTTTTTACTTCCACCTTTCCCTGAAAAACACTCGTCAGTACAGTCTTCGAGAACTAAAAATGTAAGTACTCTATTTAATTTTGTTTCTTGTATTTTACGTTAATATTTATTAGCCAGAAAATAAACGTAGTAATTCTGCCCTGTAAAATGCTCTGAACTTTTTCTACTGGGGATTGTAGAAAAATGGTCTTGCTTCTAAAGCAGTCAGATATAATTAGAAAAGCTTACAATTTGTCAGTGATTCAATAAGCAAAGATCATGACTGGCCTGCATAGAGGTTGTGTTCGGTAATTAACTAGTTAGTAGGAAATGTTATTGTCAACGTGAATTTTTGTTCTATTTTTACAACGTCCGATAAATACGATAACGACCATAGACGATAAATTTGAATATTTTCATCGTGTCCCGTGCTTTACCAAGAATGAAAGAAATAAACGTCTTTAGTTCAATTTGAAGTTTTAATCGTCAAAGAAAACGGTTGAACTGAACTTTTTTTCTTCCTACGTGCAATTATCAGTTAGTACTACTACTTTACCGCTAGATGGTCACAGCGTTCGTGTCCCTGCTGATTGGCTAAATTTTTAAAAGATAACGCATTTACAAAATTAATTTATAAATTTTTTCGATCAAACATTATATTAGCTACGAAATTTTACCAATAAAATTAGAAATACTTCGAATTTTGTTCTTTGAAGTTGATATTTCAGAATATGAGATACCAAACTTTATATTCCTTATGATGCCACTTTCGATTGAAAATCGTTGTTAAATTGTCTTAAATATGAATATTTTTAAATAAATAATGCAACAGCGAAAATGAATACATTGTAAATAATAAATCTTACATTTGCTTCTAATTTGAATTTCTCATTGATAAAAGAACATAAATTGTTATTTGTAGTATATATAATGGTAATGCTTAAACAATAATATTCAATAACATCGTAACGATAGATTGACGACATTAAGCAAATATGTAGTGTAATATATTCGTTATTCAATTTTTCATAAAAATTCTAGAAGAGATGTTGAAAATCGTATTCTGAAAGTCTTCATTATTTACCGAGCTACCATGCTTGCGATAAAGTTTTCCAATATTTTAGCTGAGATATATCGGCGGATCAAAAATATTGGAAAGCTATTTGGCGTGTTTGCCTTTGTAAACGGATGCCGGAGAAACTGTGTCACAACTTTGTGAAATTTGAATCTTTTATACTCTTTTAGTTTTTAATTTCAAAGCTGGAATTGCTTTTAATCTGAAATACGCTCAAATGTGTTTTGTCATTCTTGGGATTTTAAGGTCTTGACACGTAAACTCTTATACGACGCACGTTAATCATTAGGATTTATATTCATCATTAAAAATTATATTTCAATTTGTTTGTATTAGAGACACTTTACACGCCTCTTAAAATCAAGCTTCGCAGCAATGAAAATTGAAGATGATTGAAAAACTTTGGGGAAGCATTCTAATTAGGATGTCTGAAGGTAGATTGAAAATTGGAAGAACGTTTAATTTCTGGGACGACAGCAATTTTATGGTTTTAGTACTTCAAACCAGCTTACATTTCCCGATTAAAATTAAGGAAGTTTGATGAAATGCTGCTTCATGATTTGCGTAGAAAGTTGGAATGAAGTTAAATATCCCAATATGAAACGCAAATGTCAAATATCAAATGTTAAAAAGTAGCTGGTATATGTAGAACTAGACAAGCGATTGCATTTAGTTGATTAAAGACCAATGTTTTCTAGACGATACATTTTATTTGCAATATTTTCCCAATAATTTTACATTGTGTAGTCGTGAAATAGAATTCCAGAAATTCGTCTGACATCTTCTTCGTCGTCATTATTTCTTTTAACCTAGGAGTCTACAGTTGTATAAAATTGAAAGAAATTTAAATATTTTTGATCAAATATTTTATTACATTGTTATATAATAGTTAATAGTCAATCAAATATTATCTTCATATATAATGGGATAACTTTTAACTCTTAACTTGACGTAACTTTGAGAAGTTATATTGAATTTATAGAATTGAAAATATAGAATTTTAAATAAGATTCAAATGTAGGACTATTAATCTGTTTCTTTAGTTTTGCTCATTTTCTATTACTTTAATATAAATATCTGACAATTGATGAAATGAAATCAATTGATTTTTATAAAGTCTGAGGTATCTAAAACATTTGCCATTATCAATGGCAGAACAAAATACATTAGACTAAATTTAAATGGTATCGAGGATCAAGCAATCTGACGCATAGTTAATAGATGCATAGGTCAATTTCGTTTTCTAAAATGAAATTCATAATTTGTATCACGAATCATCCAATGAATCAATAAGTTCACTTCGCTGTTTCCTGAAATAGAATTAACCTGTTTACGCCGGGAAACCATTAGTTCAGTAGATATTCTATCCAGTGTAGTAGATGTTGCAACAACATTTCAATGCAGACATTACGATGCAGAATTGTTATTCGCTACAAAAAAAAAAAAAAAAAAAACATACGTTCGTTTTTATTGCAAAATAAAGGGAATAAAGAGGCTAACTAAAGGAATATCTATGAATATTCGTGCTTTCGAAGCGCATGGTAAGAGGATGTTGTTCGCGATCGAAGGATTCAGGTAGGAAAGATCGGTAACACGGCAGAGGTAACTGTAGCAGAAGGGGACCAACACACGTGCCGGGCAACCGGTCAGTCGGTCATCGTCTTCCGTTGATGTACATTTAAGCGTACCCTTGTTGCGTGACACGCGGACGCGCGTTCCCCGGGCGTCGAAACATGATCCTCGGACGCATCGCAACTTACTTCCTTCGACTGATCTTCTTCGCAAACGTCGGTTTCGCGTCGCAGACACGGCGGAGCGTCTCGCCGTGGTTGTCGTTCAGTGTTTGCGCTCTGATCGTTCTCCCATCAGATACGCAGCAATGGTCGTTGCTGGGCTTAAACCTCTGGCCGTCCGAGAAGACCGTCGAGAGACCTTCCGTCGACGGATTCGATTTGCCCGGAAATTCAATCTCCAGGGGTAAGTTCTCGGAGTGGCGTTTCGTGTTCCTTTTGTGACCGCCAAGACCAAGGTTCTCGGACCTGTGCCTCGTAACGCCAACGTCTTGTGTTTGCCCTGAGATTTGTGCTTCTTCCAATCTTACGCGACCCCACGGAAGTGTTTGTTCGGGTAAGGGACAAGGCGTTCCACTATGATGCACGAATAAAATGAATTTGTTGGCCGGCGAACGGTTGAAAACGAGTTAACCCTGAATGACAGAGATTCCCGAGATACGGTTTGATAAAATTCGAAGCGTCATAAGTAACGCAGTTAAGACGTGTGTACGTGTAGTAAGTATACTGGAATATTAAAGCAATATTCTTTTTTTAATTAATGCCATTTGCACTCATTTAATCTTCTATCGATAGCATTTAATTAAATTGTTACAGTTCTTTAAATTCAACAGTCTGATTCTTACTGTACTTTCCGTTTATACCTGGCTTAAAGATAATTTACTAGTCGCTCGAAAATTAATCGTACATTTGTATGCAGTAATTAATAGTAGAGGGTAAATTGTTTATCGGTTGCAATTATTAATTAATACGTGAACTTAACGTTCGAAGTACGAGGTTTAATCAAAAAGTTCGTGCAATTTTCAATTTTCTTGCTCTGTTTGATCGATGAAAGTTATTGTTTCGTGTTATTGATATACTCGTTTTTAATCTGCTGCACAATTTATTCTCGGACTGA